GAACCACCAACCTTTCAGTTAGCAGCCAATTGCTTAACCACTGCACCACCAGGGCTCCTTCACTTCAGAGCACTGCAGGTCAATTGCCGGGAGTGTTCAAAGGAGGGGAGGGAGTGGGAGTCATGTGCGTAAACAGGTGGCCGGCACACATGGATATTAAATGCCCTTCCCTCCCCTCCCACCAGCCTCTCCCTCTGAGCTGTCTCCAACACCAGCCCCTCCTACTAGAAAGTCCCGTGACATGTCTCACCAAGAGAAATGAAAGACAGAACAGCACGAAAATGCAGAGCCCTTACGTAGGTTTGGGCCTATGAGAGTTATCCACTCCTTGGCAGGCTGAACTCATCCCAATAAATGAGTCCAAGCCAGTATGCCAATCCGATGGGTCAGTCAGTGTTGCCCTGAAAACACAACTGTTCTCTGAAGGGCTCTGCTCACACAGTCAGCATGTAAGAACAGGTCTTGCTGAGTGCACGGCGCTAGACAGAGCCCAGTGGAGGGTACCGTGTCTGTGAAAGCCCAGAGCAGGACTGAAATCTCCCTCACTCGGGGCTGCGCTGGCAACATTGCAGCAAGGTTTTTAAGAAGAAGCCCTTCCTTTTGTTTTAGGGTGCTCTGCAGCTTCCAAGTTTAGGCCTTTGCTGTCTGGGTAGCAACTAAGGTAAGATCAGACAGGTTTAGGTATGAACAATAATAACAAAGAAAATTTATCTAGCATTTTCTGTACTGGGTGCTATGCAAAACTCTTTATGCACACCGTACGTGTCATCCTCCCCAGACCTTGAAGGGTCAGTACTGTTATTATCCTCATTCTACAGATAGAGAATTGAGGCTCAAGAGGTGAGGGAACTAGCTCAAGATCACTACCCAGCAGTGAGCAGCAGAGATTGGAATTGGAGACTGTTCGCTTCCAGAATCTGCCCTCACCTGGAGCAGACTGCATCATCCTGTGAGGAAGAACCAAGAGATGAACTATTTATTTATATCACATGGGGCGGTGGGGCGATGTCTTAGAAGTCCCTGTTTAGACGGAGGAGGGGGTGGGGTGCTGAGTCCCAGGGGAGGGAACTCAGTGCCTCTTCCCCAGCCAGTCCAGACCTGATGGGGGACCGAACATCCCTGTTTACCTGGAACTTTCTCCATTTGATCCCTGATAGTCCCACATCCCAGGTAAATGGGGATGGTTGGTCACCATACTGGTGGTCTTGGTCACCCTTAGACCAATTGCAGAGCAGCTGTGTGGCCTGTTGGGAGCCTGGTCAGGGCGCCACCTAGGAGGCCTTTTCAATTACATTAGCTTCTGGCAGCGCTAGAGGGAGACAATAGCCATGGCCTCCCTTCCCCTCCCTTTCTTCCTGTGGTTCCCTGGGAGATGGTGATTCAGCAGCAAGTCGGAAGCAGGCTAGACTGTGACCTACCAGGAGTCACCGGCAGGACAGGGGCTGTCAGCACCAGCTCAGGGCCAGGGGCGCTGGAGAGGGGGACTGCAGGGGCTGGGGAATGGGTCTCGAGTTGTTAGGCAACAGGACCCAACCGAGGGCCCTGCTGCCCTGCCCAGGCCAGGAGTGGTTGTAGGTCAGTGGGAGGTGGGCATGCCTGGGACGGCGGCCAGGGGAGCCCTGTCTTTACCCCTGTTCCCTAGTATGTGAGGGATGGAGGAATCCCAGCCACTGGATACCTACACTGCTTCACAGAGTGTTCAGCAGCTAACAATACGAAATGGCTTCGCTAAGAGATGCCCAACCGGAAACCTCCAAGAGGTTTCCTATTAGGGCAGTGCCTGCTCAGGCTGGAGGCCAGAGACCGTGTGGAGGATTCCTGTGCGGGCCATTCCCACCATTCAGTCATAACCTGGCCGCCCCCATGCCAGGACCTCTGCCTTCACTCGATTAATCCTGTGTACTTGTCAGGCCCCAAAGCCCTCTCGATCCCCCCCTTCCTCTGTGCCTGTTGCTCCAGGGGGTGGTTGTGTTTGGAGATTTGTCTTGAACCCAGAGCAAGGTCTGGGTTCTTGGCGCCCAATCCCAGCCTTACCCACTCTCTGCATGGTCCTGAACAAGTTTCCTAGCTTCTCGAAGCTTTACTCGCCTCACCTGCAAAGTGAGGAGACCACAGCCACCTGCAAGGGGATCCAGAAGTCCTTGATGGGAAGGACTCATACTCTGGTTGAGGGGTGAGCCAGGGGATTTATCTCGAAACTTTCTTGGCACAGGAAGCACATTGTTCTTACTTAGCATAAATGTTTTTTAAGGATGCAGGCCAGATACTGTGATGAAGATTATGGTGGGGGGACTGGAGCCCTCCTTGGTACCACCCATACCCACTTGTCAGGGTTTAGTTGACGGGTGCAGAGACTGGTTCTCAGCTAGCCTGGCGCAGCCTCAGACTCCCCAGGGGAGACTGTTTGAGATGCTGGCAATGTAGTATAGTAGGTTGGGGTGGGGCTCTGAGTCTGAATTTTTAACCAGCTCCAAAGATAAATCTGATGAGTGGCCAGGCTGAGGATCACTGATGGGGCCTGACCGGTGGCCTGGCACAAAGCAGACCCCCAACCCATGTGAATTATGCCTCAGTGTGACCCCTATAACACAGGAATCGGCCTGCCACCTACTGGCACAGACAGTGGGGGAGAAGGTGGCCTCACTGTGCCACTTGGTCCAGCAGAGCCGTTGGCTCGCCTACTCCAGGAAGCTGCCCCCAGTCTGGGCTACTGGCAGCCAGGCGGATGGTCAGTGGGCTGTTTTGGCCTGGGCTCCAATGCCTTTTCCTGCCAGGCAGGGCCAGAGGCAAAGTGGTGGGGCAGGGGAGGGCAGCTCATTGCCACCCATTCCCTGCTGCAGGGCCTCTCTCTGCAAAAAAAAACCTGAGAAGCGAATTTCCTCTCTGGGAGTGAAAAGTCTTCTGGGCAAGGCTGTGTAATACCTCCTTCTCCCAGCTGGGAATTCTCCCCCGAGCTGAGCTTCAAGGGGGCACAGCCAGGCACTCTAGGATGCAGTCTCTCCGCAGTCTCCCTTGCTGCCCCCAGGAAGACAAGCATGTCCTTGCTAAGGTCTTCCCCTGAACTGCAGGTGGAGCAGCAGGGGGGATGAGAAAGCAACACGCAGAGATGGACTATTCCATTTCCTAACTGGAGCCAACAGATTCTCCTCCACTCTACCCCTCCTCGCCACTGGGGTTGCTATCCCCTGGGTATGGTTTATAAACTGCTGGAGTCTGACAGCTCTCCCCCAGATGGGTAACCTTGAGCTATGGCTGAACCTCTGTTTCCTCAGCTGTAACATGGGGGTAATAGGACCTTCCTCAAAGTGTGGGTGTGAGGATTGAAGGAGATGTGGAATATCAGGGGGGTTCTCAAACAAGAATGGGTGTGTATATCAGAAATGCAGGTTCCTGGGCCTCACCTCCAGCATTCCCATTCAGTAGCTTCTGAACCCAAACTTTGGGAAATGTGGGAGCCTGGGAGAGGGCAAGCCCCTCGTCTCTGGCTGTGCAGCTGAATTATCTTGGAGCTTAACAAACAACCCCAACAGCCCAGGTGACCCCTGGACCTCCAGAATCTGAATCTTGGGGAGTCTCCATGAGGTTGACTCTTCTCCCCTCCCTGTGAACCTGCTATCCCTTCCTCCATGAAACCTCCTTTTGCCAGCTGGCAGACCTCACTGGCCAATTCACTTAGACCAAAGATGGGCAGTTGGCATTTTCTTTGGACCTGGGGGAAATGGAAGGTACTTCCTTCCAGGCTCCAGACTGATCCTGTCAGCTCCTGAGTAGTTATAGGAATTCCCAGCATTTTAGGGGTCTGTGAGGCTTAGGTTAAGGGAGTGGGTTCACATTTCCCAGTCCCCAGAGAATTGATGGATGGTAAGGGTGGGTGGTGGGTGGGGAGAGATCAAAGGCAGGAGCAAGACCATAAGGGCAAGTGGGGGCACGATTTGGGAAATATGGCTAATCCCGGGTCTTTGGTTAATTCTAGCTGGAGGGCAGGTCAGGCTCAGGCTCGGGTGGTCCAGGGTGGATAAATGGAGCCCAGGAGGGGTTAAGTGCCTAAGGTCACCACCAATAATTGTCAGCCCAGTGCTCATTTATTTGGAAGCTCAACCTCTACTCCCTACCACTCCCAGCCTCTAGTACCCTACCTGCCTGGTACTGAACCCCAGATTCCCCACCTTGGTCTTTAAAGAGAAAGGCCTACCATCAATATTTATTGATCACCTGCCAGGTCCAGGGGACTTAGTGGGTGGGAGCAAGCCACAGGGAGCCTTCAGTCTGGGGTTGGGGGTGCAGACTGCAATCAAAGGGTCACACAAATCTGTGATTATGAGGAGGCCAAAACTGAGATCCCTTTTATATGAGGGGGAAGGATGTCGAGGAAGGCATATTGAGGAGGTGCCCTTTCGTGGGGACTTAAAGGCTGAGTGGGCGCGAGTGGTGCAGAGGATTGGGGAGGGGAAGTACGGGGTAGAGGGGAAGCCGGCACCCTGCAGGGGGCTGGGTCTGGCACACAGCAGGTTCTAGTGACCACCCTCCCGGGGCCTCAGTTTCCCTATTTACGAAGTGCATGAGAACCTGCCTCACCCTTCCCCAACAGCTGAGGATTGGGACAGATGCCTGGGTGGCACAGGGCAGGAGGGACCAGAGAGCCCCTCATCTCCGGGCGGGCCAGGGCGGGGCGGGATCAAGGGGGCGCCCGCGACGGGGCCGGGCGGGGCGGGGCGGGTCATAGCGCCGGAGGCAGGGCCGGCGGG